TCTTCCTTTAAGTTGCAGATGTCAGGTATTTTGTTTCATTGACAAGAAAGTGAGTAATATGGTGATCAAATACTGATTCATTTCAGCTAACAATCTTAGAGGAATAATTTACAATGGACCAACACTGCATGCCAAAAACAACTAGAAAAGCCACATATAAAATAATCAGACAAAACCTTTGGGAAAATTTATTACTCAAGTTTCCATTACTTTAACAAATACCTAAGAGACTCATTTTATGAAAAGAAAAGGTTTCTTTGGCTTACGGTTTTGGCGGTTCCAGTCCATGGGTGGGTGGACACATTGCTTTTAGGTCTCCACTGAGTTACAGCACATCAGGGTAGGAGTATGTGTTATAGCAATATCATATCCCTTATGTCTGAGAATCAAAGGATACGAAAAGGAAAGGGGTAGAGTTCCACTGTTCCATTCCAGGGCATGCCCCAATGACCTGAAGACTTTCCACTAGACCCCTCTTCTTAATTGTACCACTACCTTCCAATAGCACCAGGCTGGGGGACCAAGTCTTTAACTCATGGGCTTCTGGGGGACACTCAAGATAGCAAGAAGCTTCCAAGGAAGTCATGACTTGGGGTTTCAATATTTCAGATGGAGGAAATATAAGAGAAAGATGTAAACTGACACATAAGGGTACTTTTCTTTCCCCTCAGATAGATATAACAGGTCCTTGACAATCTGGAAACACAGCAAGAGCTGAGAATATCAGCTTTGTTTGAGCAGAGGACCACTGCTGAGACATAAAGAACCTAGTACAGAATATTTTGTAGTCCTGGGAGAGGTGAATATGGAAAGACATAGTCAGAGATATGAGGAGCCAAGATTCACTTAATGAGCAATAAAAGGGGGGAGTACCCAGCTGATACAGGGCTGATATTACACATAGGGCATTAATTTTCATTTGGAACCTGTAAGTATACTAGTAGGAGGCATTGGATACCTTCCCCAGAAGAGAAATGAAGTTTAACAACACTTGATATAGCTCAGTCACTGATTGGATACCAATGATTGGTCACTACCCCACTCTAACTACCTAAGGAAATGTTGACACCCCTTTGGAGGTAGATAAATCATCTGGAAACTATGATTTTTATACAAAACTACTAAAATCAAGAGTAAAGAGAGATGGTGAAAAGAGACACAAAAATACAGTTTCTGGCAATAGCAGATAAAAACTTTAAAATAATTTGGAATAAAAGGGCTGGAGTGTAGTTAAGTGGTAGTGTGCTTACATAGCATGTGGGGCAACCTATATTCAATACCCAGCACTGACAAGGAAGAATTTAATTAATAGGTTGAAAGTAGTACAGAATAAGATAGGGAAAATAGATAAATTAGAATCTAGAAAATATATATATATATATTTTAAAATATATAGTGATTATAGTAATAATCCATGGATGACCTTGACAGTGTAATAGACATAATGTAAATGATGATTAGTAAATTGAAGAATTCAAAAGAAAATATTCAAACAATCATAGAGAGGTTAAAATAATGGTAGAAAAGACTAAACTGAGTGTAACAGGCATGTTGAGTACAATAAATCCATTCATGAACTGAGATCCCAAGAAAAGGGACAGAATGGTATATAGAGAGAGATCAGTTAAGAATTCAATGAATTTCACCTGATGAAAGACATCAGTCCACAAATTCAAGAAACTCTGAATTTGAGAACAAATATAAAGACAACAACTCCCAACAACATCATAGTATAACTGAAAAAAATAAAGACAAATGAAAAACCTTAAAATCAGCCAAAGATGAAGATACATCACCTTCAAAGCAACAGTAAGACTGAAAGGTGTAATGAAAGCCAGGAATCAAAAGAATAGCAGGTTAAAAAAGAAATACCTCCCAAAGAGAAACTGTATGCCCATTTTAAATATTCTTTAAAAATTATACCTGTATAAAAATACTTTCAGCCACCCCAAAAATTTGTCAGCTAACTTTTGATACATTAAATAACTTCATTATTTTATAATTATAATAAATGAGTTCTTAAGGTGGCACAAATTTAAAATAAAAGATGCTTAAAATGAAAAATTATATACTAGATTCACCTCTATAAATTTACTTCTTTAACTGAACTAATTAGAAATTGAGAAGTTATTAGATTCTGTAATTCATGATATTTGCCATATAATTCTTCCTAAGTTTTCCAAATCACTTTTGTGCATTAGCTCATTTGCTGGGCACTACTCCCTCACTCAGCTGGAAAACAAGTCAGGTATTTTGATCTTTATTTTATGTAAAATGAAAGTCATGCTCAAAGAGACTCAGAGACTTGTCCTTGAGACAACAAAATCTAAACTAGAATGCGTACTTCCTATCTGCTGTTCATCATTTGGATACTACAAAGTAGAAAATTAATTAATAATATTACATTGAAAAATACATCAAATAAATAGCAAATGGATAATTGCAGTAGTTTCTAAAGAATTTGTATCAAAATTTCTTTTATTTTTCAAAGCTCTGTTAACATATTTACCCTCTGAATAAGATATCATAACATTCTTCAATATTTTTAACAATCTTATAACTATTAGATTTCACTCTTAGTTTATAATTCTAGAAGCTAAGATGCCAAAACCTTTCAGGCTAGGTTTTACTGAACAATTTCCATATCAAAGGCTACCCAAAAGTTAAAACCATAATGTTTTGTGATCCATAAGCCTCCTTAAGCTTAGGAAGGCTATAAGACATCCTTATGGAAAGGCCACAAGACAAACTTCTGATTCAGTTCAAGATATAATTTTGCCTCAAGGAAGGTGAGAAAATTTCATATAATGGCATTTCTAAAGTGTGTATTAAATCAACCAACTGGAACAAGCAAAGAAAGGGGCCATCAAATAGTATGAACTTATTCCACATACATAATCTTTCCTTGGAGAAGACATAATACTGAAATGATACCCTTCTCCACAAACCTGGAACATTGCTCTCACCTACTCCAGCAGTATGCTGTGGCTTTGTTTGTTTAATAATGTGACTTCTTCTTCAACTGGGACTTTTTCCTAATGAAGAGTCCACGTGTGAAAACAATAGCCAAAGTACTTGTAAAATACACTAACGAACACTGAGAGTAATCTCCAGTTCCAGGACATTATTTTACTCTATGTCTTTCTTTAAAATAATATTGTACTTCTTATCAAATCATATTTACAAGATGCCTACATTTTGTGGGGACTTTCCTCACATATTCTATTGCATGTGTGGTAAAATAACAAAACACTTTTAACCTTCTTAGTTAAAATATTTCAGAAATAAAATTAAATATTTTAAGTATAAAGTATAATCCATTCTTGTTAGTGTACATTCTTATTTACTATATGAAATGAGTAATAAATCTTGTTTTTAAAGGTAATATCTTTTGCCAAAATCCATGAGCCATTTTAAATGCCACCACTTTTTGCTTGTCATTGCTGGGTGACTGATAAGAATTATACATATATTTTTATAATATGCATTTTCATGTTGAGTAGAGCCCAATGCATAAGCACATCACTGGGCTGGGTTGAAGAAGAGGTTTTGTTATCACAGGATCTGAGGAAAGCAGTGGTCAGAGCAACAGGTTGTCTAAGAACTTCGATGTGAAGCTCCATATGCTTTGGCATAAAAAAGTCAAGAACAAGAAAAGTTAAAAAGAAAACTTTTGAAGAAACAGATGGAGATTTTTTGTGACAAGAAGTCATGAATTGGATAATAAAATAAAGATTATTTCTGAATCACGGAGGAAAGTGTTGCTGCTAGACCAGAAGTCCTGGGAAAAAAACAAACTCTCCTTGGTCACCTTATTCAACTGTCAACACCATCTAACATAATCATTTAATTATGCACTTCCCAGGAAAGACAAACATGTACAATGAGCTTTCCCCAAATCAAAACTGAGGTACCCCCTCTGATATGCTTCTTAGTTCCACTGCTCATATTTACCACAACCTCCGCCTATGACCTCACACACATCCCACTTTACTTCTACCACATTTATTATTCCAGCAATTTTTTACCATGTCTACTCTGAAAGCACCTCAAACTTTACCAGAAGAGCAATCACTGATCAAGATATTGTGGTTTGACTCTTAGAAAAGCTTCATTCGAATCACCAGTCTTTAAAGAAAAAGAAAAAAATCTAAAGAAAAAATAAGCTTTATTTCAAAGAAAAACAAAATGACTCTGAAGTGTAACTGTCCTATTGTGACTTTCTTATATTTGATCATTATGTTAGATGCTGGAATATCAAAACTGTGTATAAGGACTCTTTAATATTAGGAGATTAATTATTGTAAATTAAATACAAAAATATGAAATAGCTATTAAAATTTTAAAGATCTTAGATTGCAGTGGTTAAAAGCTTCAAAAAGAAAAGTAACTATAAACCCTAAAGTAGTAAATTTTCGATTGTTTCCTTCTTTTCCACAAAGTGGCCTTTGGGGAGGTGGATATTAAGTACAAATGCTCCAAGAAATACCGTCACTTCTTTGTGATACAAAAACTGGACTCTTCCCCAACAGAAGGGATCCATCTATGAGGGAGACATATATCGACCGGCAGAAAGCCAGTAGGTGTGGGTACTGATGTGTTGACATCTATACGCGGTACAACTCTCAACTAAGGTGTAAGCAGGTTCCGAATGTCTTTCAGCCCGAAGAGCTCTACAACAGACAAGGTCCTGATCTCAAACATGTTAACAAGCAAACCTCTTCCGGACCTGAGTAACAAAAGGAATTGCCAGGAAAACGTGGAGCAGCTGTCTTAACTACATACTGAACCTGCCTCTGACCCATCCACCTGCCACAAATATCCCCAAGATAAACACTTCAGAAACAGGAAAAGGAAAAAAGAAAGAAAGAAAAAAAGACCCAAAGTTTGCTCTTTACCTCGCACCACTCGGGGGTAGAACTTGGGCGTCTCTCTGCCACTTCGCTCCCAGGAGCCCCAGAAGGTAGCTCTACACCTGAATAACCGCGACAGTCACTCACCCGTGAGCGCGCAGGACCCTTCCGGCGTTTTAAATCCCAGTCTCAATCCCACCTGCCGCAGGAACACAATGGAATCTCTCCCCGAGCCGGCCCAGTGCCGGGAGCCAGGATTGAGCCCAACAGTTGCAGCGAGCCTCGCACAGGTTTGAGCGCATCCGCGATAAACCCAAGACAAAGGCTGCCCCCAGTCTGGCGAGGTGCGCGCCCTCCTGGATAAACGGCGCTCGCTCCCTCCAGCCCACACTGGGGGTGCCTGAGCCCGAAAAGTGCTGCCTTGGATTCGCGCTTTTGGAGGGGTGCGGCTGAGTGACTAGTAGGGCTCTGGTGTAAACAGCGCGCTGCGCTCTCGAGATCCACAAGAAGCAGGGTGAGCGCAGGGCTGGCGCCGGGTCTAACAGGGAAAACTGCCCCAGGCAGCCGGCTGGAGCAGCCTGCACGGACCCGAGCGCCTCCCACCCGGCGAGCTAGGTCCCAGCACCCGGCGAGAACCCGAGCCAGGAGCGCAAGCTCCGGCGGGCCGCCCCCGAGCCAAGGCACCTGCCGCCTGCGCTCCGGGCCAAGTCCCGCGCTCGGACCGCAACCGGAGAGAGTGCGCACTCACAGCGAGGCTGCCCGGACGATCTGGGCAATCACTCACCGGCGGAGGGGGAAGTGGCTCAGAAAACCGCCGGGCTGCGCGCGGCGGGCATCCTGGGGCAGCGGCCTCCTCCCATTCTTTGTCACTCGCCGGCGGAGCGCTCCTCCCCAGCCCGAGGACGAGCAGCCCGGCGCAGGCAGCCGGCTCTGGCTCGCTCCCCAGTCCGCTCCCCTCCCCTGCTCCCCTCCCCTTCTCCGGCCCCCTCTCCGAGCCGGCACTCACTCGGCGCCCATGATGTCATCCAGTGGAAATCTGCCATGCTCAAAAACTGGAATAATCCAGCGCTCACGCGGGGCGCGCAGAGAGGGCGGAGGCGCGCGCGGAGCCTCCCGGAGTTCCCGGAACCTGACCCCCAGGTTAGCCTGAGCCGGTAAGGGGACTGATCACAGGAGGGGTCTAGGGAAAGTGGCTCGGAGAGTGCGTGGGGGATCAGTGGGTGCAGTGGGGATGGAGCCGGGGACCAAGAGCGCGTTCGCTGATGTGAAGATTCCGAAATGGGCACTTCGACGGTTGACAGAAGCAGGAGTAAGGACAAAGTTTTCTAGGCTTCTCGGGAGCCACACCGTGGATAAACACCTGTGCTTGCAGACAGACCCCCGAAGCCCCAGTCTCAGCGAGAAAGTTCAGGATGTCTGGGCAGAGCTAGCCTCGGTGAGGAGCAGCTGAAGTGATGAAGAGGGCTTGTGCTGTTTATGGGCAAAGGAATCATCGGAGGCAAACCTTAGGCAGCAAGGGGGCTGCACGCCAGGGGCAAAAGGGCACCCAGGGGAACTCACCTTTGGCCTCCCTGTGGCACTCCTGTCCTCCCACCAGATACTCCCGGACACTGTGAAGCTGCTTCCCTCCCTCCCAAGGGTTGCAATCATGGATGAAACTATGCACATCTCCACAGGTCTATTGGGAATAATAAAAGATGGGATGCCAACTCTTTTTGTTCAGTGTCACTTATATAGTAGAAGTTTTATTAGAGGAATAGAGGCAGACAGCCTCAATACTTTTGAAGATTCTCCAGTATTAATAGACACACACACACACACACACACACACACACACGCACGCACGCACGCGCGCGCCCTTCAAGTCCAGGGCTACATCAGCGTAAAGCAGCTTCAAGTCAATATCGTTGGCTGTTTAGAGAACAGATCTCAACAACTGGAAGTGCTGGATCCATCTGTGCTTCAGGGAGACTGTCACTTGCTTTCTCAGGGATTGCCTATCTTCTATCACCCCTGGGAGAAACCAAGATTGCAGAGGACAGTGCCAGTGCTGATTGCCCAGGCTCAGCTGAGAACATGGGACTGTGCCTCTGGGAACCTCTGTTATCCTGGAGAAGAGGTGTAGCATTCACCACAGATATGAGTACAATCAGAAACTCCTCGGTCTTTGTAAATACAAAGAGGATGTCATACAACAGCAAGAACACTAATGGCCACAACACTTTGAGGGCTTCTCAGTATATTACTCTGGCCAATACATTATGACATTGTGAAATCAAGGAATCACAGTATATAGCTCATTGGTAGAACACTTGCCTAGCATGCTCAAGACCGTGGGTTCATCCCCAGCACCACAAAAAAGAAATTGTAAAGCTTAGTAGGTTTGTTAAGGAAAAGATAATAAATGAAGTGAAAAGGCAGGATCAGAAATTGCTTTTAATAATAAAATATTAAAAAGCATATAGTGAAATCTAGATGTGTAAACATGCATCTAGCTGTGTTCAGATTAAATTATTTTAGGTAATAGTAAATCTGTATGTTACTTATATGTATTATAACCTTGCTAATTTCCTTACATTTTATTGAAGAGGGTTTTATTTTTAAAGAATAATCACATTCCTATGAAGTACAAAAGAACTTATAAAATGAATAAACAATTCTAGAAGCAAGTATTTTAAATACCAAAATAATTAAGTTTTTAAAAAAATCTGAGCAAATGGGACATAAACTGGACAAAAACATTGTGAGAGGTAAGAAATTTGGGATGTAAGCAATGGCAGTGTTTCAGATAAGAAAATGAACCAATTGCTTGAGAAAAGTAATTAGAACTGCTAATGATGCTGTTCTAAGTATATAAGAAGGTCCAGTTGTAAACTTCCCCCCCATTGGTTCTTTGATGCCCCACCTGTCTTCATTGTCTCTGTTTATCTTGTTCTTCAGCCTTCTCTGGGCTAAAGAACAGGCATGGAGACGAGAAGAACTTCAGACCTTAGTAGCCATAAAGATCAGAAAATGCATCCTTCAGCCTCTTTTTGTTTTAAATTGCTGCCCTAAAGGATTAATGCCAAGCCTATATATTTAAGAAACATGAAATACATTAATATATGATTACTTCATTGATCCTATGGAAAAGTCTTCAGTTTTGCGGCTCTGGACTTCTTGGAGAATTAAAAGTACTGTCCTATGTCCATCCCTGAGACTCTTGGTCTTCACAAATCTGACTTATTTACAAGATCTTCTGTCCCTGTCTGTTGCCTACCAAGATCCTTGCTGTGCCAGTGATATTTCCCACTTCTAATGCATACTTTTATTTCTTTGTAATTTTTAAAAGTCATTCTGTTTGAATATTTTAAGATATTTTTATCCAAATGATGGCTAACACAACCAAAATTAAACCATTCAGTTGCTACCTTAGAAAATAAGTGTCACAATTCTTAGAAAAACATTATATCTAAAATCATACCTTAGAGCCCTAAATTACATTCTAAGCTTGTTTAAATGGTGAATATAGTAAACCTTGGAATTGAAGATTTGGAGTGGATATATGAACTCTGCCTCAATTATTACACTTGATCTTAGCCAAAAGGTTGAGCAGCAATTCTGCCTCAATTATTGATGCTCTGCTACACTGTCTTCATGATGACACATGATTCTCTTCACAAAGGCAACCAGTGCTGCCCTTTGGTAGGAAAGAAATAGACATGTTTTACTTTGTGAATTCCACCAAGTTATAAACTTTTTGCACTCTAGTTTAATTTAAATTAATTATAACTAACAATTTTTTTACAAAAACTAGTTTTCCAAGAGATGAATTTATTAAATGTTGACATTAATAAATAAAAGAACTATTATTAAGCCCTTATGACGTGCCAATTACTATGCTGAGTCATATGTCATATGATCTTCAAATAACCCTATGCCATGAGTACCTTGTTAACCTCTCTTGAAGATGAGGAAACAGACCTAGACAGATTATAAAAATTGTCCTGGCAACTGAACTAGTACACATCAGATCTTTACAAATGGAAAGGAGACCAAGAGGTGGGGGAGGGGAAAGTATAAAGGGGAAGAGGAAGATGTAAAAAAATTAAGATGCATTATGTACATGTACTAACTCCCCGAAATGAATGTAATCTTTATGTACTCCAAACATGTACTAATAAAAATATTTTTTTTAAAAAATCAGATTTACAATTTGATTCTATCAGTCTAAACATATAAAGACTCCCATGATAGCAGCATATTGTAACTTTTAGATAACGTTTCCTCTAAAAACAATGAAAGCAAAGTGATATACATGTATACCTATACTTATATATTATGTTTATATTTTATTTGGTCAGGTAGATAATACATTTAGATGAACTTTTCTATCAGTTACTAAATTCATTAGTAATTTTGTTCTTGTTATCTCTATTAACAATAGGCTTCCAAACTTATTTATGAAGAAATAAATTGGGGGCAACTAAATGAATTTTACTTTTTATTCTAGCATTAAAGAGTTTTAGACATAAAGCAAGGTACAGTGATTCTGTACTTGGAAGCACTACTTTAAAATGAACTAAAAAAGAAAAATACTCATAAGCCATTACTTTAAATAAAGACAAGGATTACCTCAGCGACTATCTTCTCTGTTCTCCTAATCTACTCATAGATCTGTGAAAGTCAACTACATCACCCATCTCAAAGGCTGTCTTCCATGCTGTGAATATTAACAAGAAAAAGAGATTATTTTATACTTTGGATCTCAAAGGCTTCATGTCTGTATCATAGAAAGTAATATTCCCTGGGCACAAATGTACAACCAAGCTTCTTTAAACAGAAAGATTTGGTATTATTTTTTTCAAAAGCTCTTATCTTTTTTGGTAATTGGCTAATATTCAGTAACTGTTAACAAGGGTTATTTGAACAGATTTGTGAAACAGTTAAAAGGCACATAACAGATGGTCATCTTGCAAGGTATTTGTTAATCTAGCTTTTTTTTTTTTTTTTGGTACTGGGAATCAAACTCGGGTCCTTGCGCTGGCGCAGCAGGTGGCAAAACCACTAAGCTAAATCTAGCTTTTTAAAGTTAACTTCTCATTTATAAAATAATTTAAACAAATAATGAGAATCTTTATGTTTGTAAAGTATGTTAACAGGTGTAAATTTATTTATTGCATTCATATGACCTAAATACTAATCTTATTTTGATTTTGGCTCCAGACATTCTTTTATCATGAAACATTCTTCTTAATGGGGAGGGGGCCTCCCCCACGTCTATAAGTTCATTTTCCTACTCCTCTTTCATTGGTGCTGGTCATGGACACTAACCTGACATAAACTAGTGGTCATTTATTAATTGCCTTTGTTTAAGGTCAGAAGAAAGGATGAAGAATGTTTCCTTCTAGAAAAAGGATTTCATATTTCAAAACAGACTCATTGCTTATGGAAAGAAAAGGGGAACTCTATGTATAGCAATAGCAAGCTATGAATGAACATATTTAAACACTTTGCCCCTAAAATGAAAGTACTTGGGAAATAGAGATGCTGATTTAACTTAGCCTGTGTCAGTCCCTCCATCTCAGAGCTGAGATTTTTCTTAATCAAGTGCTTAATGTATTCTAATAATAATAGTATCAGTGATTGCCTATGATATTTCTACCCGGATCTTATTATGATCATGTATTTTTTTTCTTCAAATTACTTTAATTATCCTGGTAACTCCATTTGTGAGCATGGAATTAAATACAAGACAGAAACAAACACAACTGAAAG